TTCCTGATTTAATCTTTTAGGTACAAAACTTTAGAGCTAATACCATCAGTATTCTTATACAGCATCATCAAAAAGTGGTTCTACACCCCAACTTTTTCCATTCTGTATTCATGTTCTTCTCCTCATTCCTTATTGGCCCATGAACACTTCATCCATTTTTTCAATATCTCCATGTCATCACTGATAAGGTTCGATCTTGCCAAAAGCATTTAATATTTGTCAAATATCCTTTGATCCCTATCTCTTCTTAAGATCTTCTCTATATATTTTATGTTGCTCAGCTTTGTCTTCAATGGACAACTTCCACTTTTGTCATATTGACCAATATTTTTATAATCTTGAATGTTTCTTGTTCCTCTGATCCTCTGTAATGCCAGTAATACTGGCAATTATCATCTCCCTTGATCCTGCAAATTCTTGATGTTATTTTGCTTCCCCGAGATGCTAAAATATAATACAGTACAAGCATTTCTGCCAACCTGCACGTTTAGCATCTTGGAGTTACTAATGAATCATTTTCTTTTTTCCTTGCTAATGTTTAATTTGACAAGTGACACTCATTGCTTCTTGGGTTACTATTTATTGCCTTTGTTCATCCTGCTCTCATCCAGTACCTAGTCCATACTGCCATCCAACATCTCCTTTAATTGGTTATTATTAGTCATTTCATTTTTAGGAATCTATTCTCTACCATTAGCTCTTGTCATTGACTCTTGATTTGCAATTCTCTCCAAATCTCACCTGCTTATATGTAGTATTTTCTTGTTCATTTTTTATCTTTTGAATCCTATTCATCCAACATGTTATATATTTCTAATTTCTCAGAATGGAAACAAATGATTTGTTCATTCTGCAGTCTTAGTTTAATCACTCAATACTTCATTTCCTTCCCTGGACAGCATTTCAGTGAGACTAATGACCAAACCATCAGATGTCTCGTCCATTGTCAAAATGGCTCTTCGAATGTAAACAAAAGATGGTTGGCCCTGGACTGGGTGCTCAATAGGCTTCCTGTTCCCAGCAACAACCATTGTATCAGCTGAATTCATATTTCTCAGCATTCAAGCATTGTCATACTTTGTATATTGTGATCATATCATCTCTGGTTTTTTATTTTAATGTAATTAGATTGAGTTCCCAGTCATAGCTCATCTCTGGCATTAGTTTCAAGTGCTTTGAAAAATTACTTAAGTCTGAATGCCTCCTTATGCTAGCCAATTTTGCATATACAGTACTGTATTGATGTTATTCTCTTGATATATGCCTCTGGTGATGAAGACTGGTATTATATCAAATTGTATGTACTTACCTTGTTTCATTGTTTATATTAAACTTCAGGTCTTGGATCACCTCTCAAAAATTAATCAACTGGTGCAAAATCATGCAGGCCTTTTGCATTCTGGCATCTTCCTTTGAAGCCATCACTTCTTAAGACATTCTATTTATTCACTATTCACTGCAGTCCCCATGGTGTAGTGGTTAAGACATTCACCTGGTGTTTTGCGAGCTCTTTGTCCTGGGTTTGAATCCTGACCAGGGAAGATTTACTGGGTGCAAATCCTTAACTGAAGCCTCTGTTTAACTCGACAGTAAAATGGGTACCTGGTTGTTGAACGATTTGGCGGGTCATATTCTGGGGAACATAGGATGAAGGACTTGCCTGAAACACTATGCATGGTAGTGGCTGTACAAGAATGTAAGAACTCTTGTATATATAAATACAATACAATACTACTGTACTCCGACCTAGGCACAATGCTTTCTAATGTCTGGGTGGCTTATTTGAGTAGAGTTCTTCTGTGTTTCCTTTATCACCTGTTATGTTTATTTCTCCAAGTACTTTGTACATGATCATTTTTTTCCATTTTCTCTTTCATTGTGAGGTTTAATTAATTTAGTCTTTAAGCACTGATTATAATTCTCAGCTTCGAGACTTCAGAAATAATCTGATTTGTGACATACAAGGTCATGCATATCTTTTTATACACAGTAAGTAAGTTTTCTTATTCAGGACAATCTTGCATGTGCAACTGATGATATCTAGTTCATGTGGGATTCAAGAGATAGGTACGAGTTCTTTTTCCAATTCAAGGAGGGCTTTCTTTCCCATTTTGTATCTAACCTTTTCCCAGCACCCAGCTTAATTTTTTTACACTTACTAAGTCTTAAATGTAGTACCTGTATTAAGGCAATGTGTTGCCTGTTTAGTACTGTTGATTTGGTCGTTACATTTTATTTATAAGATTTGTACTTTCAGAACTCTGATGAAAATTATCATAGAAAAATGATCAGACTTTTGCAAATTTTTCTTTGTACTTCATAACTTTTAGGTTACTAGCAAATGCTACACAGTTAATGTTTCATTACACATTCACAATTTTTTTCCTTCTATTAAGTGACTTGGACTTCGCCGTGCACAGCTCACACAACCTAGTTTGCACAACTTTCGACAGACTATCTGTCTGCAGAGAGGTAGGCCATGGGAGAGATGTTCATTTTTTTCTGCAATGGTTTGCCATGTATTTTGTAATTGTTCTATTTGTAGCTATTCTATTACAACACAATAGTCTGTAATATTGTTTGGTTGAAATATTGATGGCAGCATCGAGCTTTTTGCCTCTGTCTGCAGCTTATTTTGTCACGTCAATGTGACTGGGCACCTAGACTTCTTAAACACCTAGACAAGTTAAACACTTGTTCAACCCTTCATTCTGTTTTTCCATGTTATCCTAAAGCTTCTTGGACTTTTTACTGTATTTTTACTCATTGAGAGAGACATATTTCCTCTCAAAGATTATTTACACAAATCAGGAACAAGATAGGTGCTTGATATCAATGCCACTTAATGTTTTCTGTTGTGTAGATACTCTCTTATCTACTGAAACCCTTTCCTTATCACTCCTGCCTGTTTCTCAACTTGTACAATAGTTTTATGTAGGATGTTGAAAGCATTCCGATGATCCAAAAACATACAGCCAGCTTACCTTTCTCTTCTCTGATCATATAATTCAGCCAATCATATAATTCTAAGTTTGTGAAGCAAGATTTACCATACCAGAATCCATTCTGATGTGTCTTAAGTGTGTGTGTGTATATATATATGTATATGTATATAAAATTGTGTGTATATGTATACTGTATATGTATTTGGTTTGAAAGTGACTGCATTGCTAGCATTGTTGATTTTGCTGTTCAGGCATTACTTGTGTCTGATGATCTTCTTTGCATCAGTGTCGAGTTAGGTGATTAAGTTTCAGAAATTCATGGTCATTCTGGGTTTTAGGAGAATAAAACACAAGAATGTATGATGTGCATATTTCATTCTAGCCTGGAACATGTTCAGGTGAGGTATGGTGGGATATACACACAGATAGAGGTGATGTACAGGTTAGGTGAGTCAAACAGTGGGGCTCAGGTGTTGGTGAATGGGCAAAGTTCCCTGTGCTGTGATGTCATCTGTTGCTTGGGGTCTAGGGCTCAGTGTTGGTAATGAGGTAAAGTTGTCATTTTGTATATTTATATTAGGTCCTTTTTCTTTGATGAGGATTGCTTCTAGAATTTGTAATCTCCTACAATCGGTTGCAGAATCAAGTATTAATGTGTTCGTCAAACATTTTCCTACCAAGTGCCACATTATAATTAATTCACATATGATTTTTTGGAACTCCTGCTTGTAAGTGACAAGTCAATCTTCTTGAAAGCTTAGTAATGATCATGCTAATATTGGTTAATTGAAGGTTACATTCTTCGTGGAAGCAAGTGCATTGGTATACCACATTGGTTTCTGGATTGGGTTGCTTATTCTATTCAGACTGTGCTTCATTACCAAGTCTGCTGACTTTTTGATCTTATAGTAGATTATGAATTCAAGTTTTTGGTTTTGTCAACTGGTTTTACTCCCCTGGATATGAAGTCCTTCATAATGTGTTCATCAGTCTTGTATTGGAGGTTCATGATGGTTTTAATATATAACTTAATGGGTGGGGACATCTGCTAGTGTGGTGGGTTAGGGTTGTATAATTTATCTAGATACTGCCTAGTGCAGGTGTTCACTTCTTAACAAGAAGTGTTAAGGATTTGTTTACTTCCTGTTAAGAAGTGAACACCTGCACTAGGCAGTATCTAGATAAATTATACAACCCTAACCCACCACACCAGCAGATGCCCTCACCCATTAAGTTATATATTAAAACCATCATGAACCTCCAATACAAGACTGATGAACACATTATGAAGGACTTCATATCCAGGGGAGTAAAACCAGTTGACAAAACCAAAAACTTGAATTCATAATCTACTATAAAATCAAAAAGTCAGCAGACTTAGTAATGAAGGAGTCTGAATAGAACAAGCAACCCAATCTAGAAAGCCAATGTGGTATACCAATACACTTGCTCCCACGAAGAATGTAACCTTCGATTAACCTATATTGGCATGATCATTACTAAGCTTTAAAGAAGGTTGACTTGTCACTTACAAGCAGGAGTTCCAAAAAATCATATGTGAACTAATTATAATGTGGCACTCACTAGGTAAATGCTTGACGAACACATAAAACTGTACTTGATTCTGCAACCGATTGCAGGAGATTACAAATTCTAGAAGCAATCCACATCAAAGAAAGAGACCTAATGTAAACAAACGACTTTGCTCCATTACCAACACTTGAGCAACTAGACTCCACCCAATGGCAGGCAACGACATTCACTAGCACCTGAGCTCGGTGGCTTGACTTTCCTAACCTGTACCTCACACCTATCTGCATATATATTCCCCCTTACTATGAATGCAAATCACCTTATCTCACCTCAAGATGTTCAAGGCAGGAACGAAACTTTGTGCACATAATACATCATATAGTTATTCATGTT